CATCATAATCGATTTTTTTCGTTACAACACAATCCATTAAAATCCATTATAAAGGATTATAATCTATTTAAAATCCATTATTCCATTATAATGGATTATAATCCACTTAAAATCGATTATATTTGATTATAACGGATTAAATTCTACACATTTTTTTGCAAAATCCTGTGGAAAACTTGCAACATTTTTGCGTTACTCACGACCTACTCGCAGTCTAAACCTACTCGTATTACCCCCCCCCCCTTTGCCCCTCATCCGCATTTGCCCAAACATTCCCCCCACTACCCTACTTTTATCCCTACGCCCACCCCCATGTTTACCAAAGTTTATCCTTAGGGGGAGTTTATAACAACCCCCCCCCCCAGTTACAGTTTACCCCCCCCCCCCAGCTTTCCATTACCATTTTGAACGGGGACGGGGGAGGGAGTATACTCAGTTTTCAGGTTACCCTCCCTCCACATCCCCCCCTCACGTTTAGTAAAGGGGGGCTTTAAACTAAGATGGGGGAGTTAATCGAGGAGGGGTAAACTGTGTGGGGGGTTGGGGTATACTGGGGGGGGGGGGGCTTTTTGTAGATCATTAACCCCCTCCTTATAAGTCTACCAATAAATATCCCCCCATAAAGGGGGGCGAATGGCGGTTGTCGTAAGCTGGCAGTTGGGTGGGGGGGGGGGGCGGAGGGAAACGGGGGTGTAAGCAGGAGGAAAACGGGGGGGGGTGTAAAAAGGGGTTATGGGTAAACAGGGAGGGGGTAAACGGGGTATATAAGACAAAAATTATAAAAATTGATAGTGAAATGTAACATTTTATGAAACCTAATACGTAGCAACTGCACTAAACAGGAAATGCAAAAATTTTGAACAAAATTGTAATTTTCTTGAATAACCTCTCGAAAAAATCCATTATAATTGATTATAACCATTATAAGGGATTATATTGGCATAAAAAATTTAAGAAAATAAATCATTTATAATGGATTATAATCGAATTTTCCTGAAGTTTTATAGAGACTGGCTATAAAATGACAATATAATCGATTATTATTATCCATGGAATTCCAGTGCGGAAAACTATCTTTTCTTTATTCTGTAGAAGGTTTAGTCGAGAAATATTTTATGGGTATTTCAGATCAATTAAGCAAACCTATACTCCCTCCATTCTCGCGTGAGGGGTGGGGGGGGGGAGATAGCTCAATAGGTAATTGAGGCATTGTTTATAACCACTTCAAATTGTTTGAATGATGATATGAAACCATAAATCAGTTTCTTCAACGATAGTGGAAAGGCACCTTTTTTCTGTCCTAAATGGAAACAAAAAGCAATTTAAATGTGCTGCGGAGAATAGTTTTTGATATTCAGATTTAAGGCTAGAGCGCCAACCCTATTAAGTCGCTTTGCTCGATGAGGTCATGGTCGCACAAAAAAAATTGCAAAAAAAATTTGAAAAAAATTTGATTGTTTCTTTTTCAAGTTTTTTTCTCAAAACTCAAAAAAAAATAAACTTCACTCAGTCAATTGATTGCGTGCTACGAACACATTCACCGTGTACTCGCGTTTGCTGACGTCTTTTTGTAGCGTTTTACTGTTTTTGTTGGGGGGGGGGGAGATTGATAAACTGATTCGTTATTTCTTTTATCTCAGTTTTATTTTTATGGCTACTTCATCAGCTCATTTTTTTATCAAGGTGTTTGTGGAAAACATGAAGAAAAATCTCTACTTCTACGAGAAATATTTCTCAACACACAAATGGCTCCTTGGTGACAAACTATTTGTCGGAGATTTCCTTTATGGTCAGGAATGGATGGGATCGTGTGTTTGGAGCCGTCTATTCTGGCTGACTTTCCGAACGTCGCTCGCTACCAGAAGGAGTTCGAGAGCATCCCGAAGATTGAAAAATACTTGAAGAGTGAGAAGTTTAAGAAGTTTCCCATCAATGGGCCGATGGGCCAATGGGGCGGAGAGTATGAGTAGAACACACAAGCAACAGTCCACATGAAATGCACAAAAGGGCCAATTTTTGCATTTTAAACTTCAAGGTCTCAAAATCATTATAAATATCTTTTCACTTCTGCTATATATTCACAACATTAAAATTCTGTTAAATTGTTGCGTTTAATTGAGCGAACCTTCAGATTTCGAAGGCGTAAAATTTAGACTCCTTGATTAAGCAGCTCCCAGAATATACTAGTTTTTGTACAGCTCGTCGAAGTTGCCTCCAGTTCTGTGTTTTAGATTTCAGCCATTTAAAATTATCAAAACAATGGCATGCGCACGAGTTTTTTGACAAAAGAGGGGGTCGGTTTTTATATTTTGTTCGACCTTTTATTTAGGTCAGCTAGTTAAAATTGCCCATGCTTTGTCATGCTTTGTCGAAACCCTTAAATGTAACTTTTGAAAAACTTAATGCCTCAGACAAATTTAAAAAAAAAATTTAAGCATTTTTTAGGTTTTCACCAAAAAGTAGGCTTTACATTTTTGTAGATTTTTTCAACGCCCGCATTTTTTTATAAGTTTAAAGATCACCGGCGCCACAAGCACTTAAGAAAGCTTTTAGGGCTGTTCGCAACAAATGGTTACCGTAAGATAACTAGAAGGGAGGGGGGAGGTTGGTAGATATCTAAAAATGTACAAATATCTTAAACGTTTGTTAGATCAGCCAGGACCACCAACAGTAAAGCCACCTGCAGCGTCTAAACAAATGTTTTCTCTGCTGTGGGTAAAAAGGTTAAAAAAACTATTTCTGTGAGTTATCTCCTCCAACGAGGAATTGGACTCTAGTTCAAATTAGTAGGTTGGACAAGTTGAGCTCTTTGCTGCACATTTACTTGGCTCACTTAAGGTTCATTGCATGTTTTAGCCCCATCAATGCTACTTTTTACTCCAATTGGAATGAAATTAATAAGAAATATGACATTTTGAACAAATTGAAACAAGGATAGCCGGTTACTGTGCATGTTTCACAGAATGTTCCGACCATAATCTTAGAAAAAGACAGTCATAGTAAAATAAGCTAATCCAAAACATTTTTTTTGAGAAGTTACTTGAAAAATGAAAAAAAAATATATATATATAAAAAAAAAATTTTTTTCCAACTCTTGCAGTTTTTAAATTTTTTTTAAATTTTGGTTCCAAAAAAGCGCTAAAATGCTAATGCTCGAAGTAAACTAACGTTACTGAAGTAAAACTAAGTTTTTAGGTTTTAAATTAGGATATTGTAAACTTTTAAGCATATAAAATAAGAATGCTCGCTCGCTTTTTTTATTTGCTCAAAATAGGACGAAAAATCAAAAAATGCAAACCGGTTTTTCTCAACACGGTGAAAATTTGTTTGAAGTTTCTTAACCTGGTTCAATTAAAAATATGCGTCCTAATTTCCTAATGTGGTTCAAATCACGACCGTAAGGGCCTCAATATGATAAATAACTCAACCCAGTCCGATGATTTTTTGTGGTAGCTGATTTTATGTTGAAACAAAAACAAAAAATCTAAAACACAACCGAATACAAAGCTCCTCCCCATTTTCAATGGTCAGAACAAAAATTTCTAATTTGCAGAATTTTTTCCAGCCTCTCTGAATTTACTCAAGTACGAAACTGTGCAGATCTATTAAAGCTACTTTTGATCTTATAAACCATTTTACAACTTATCAAGTGACTAGTACTGAAACTTTAGGTCTAGCAAACTGGCGTACGAACTATTTTTGGGCCATTGTTTTTTTGTAGTTTTAGAAATGATGCAAAGCTGCGAACGAGACAATTATAATTTTGAGCCATTAATAAGAACATTTTGCCACAACTATTTGAGCACTTTTACAACATTTGTCAAAACAAGCAGGAAGTTTTACTTCCTGCTTAAGAAGCTCACTTTGCTTAACTTTTACTACATAAGAAGCTCACTTTGATCTAGTTTTGATATCAATTGGACTAACAGTTTCGGCGTGATTTTTTTCACTATTAGAAGCCAAATTGGTCGTTTTTGGGGTAAAATGCTTGGCCCGAATTTCGAAAAATGTATTAAACCATATTAACTCTGGTTTAAATCTAAGCATGTTTTGCATGAATTATCTTTTGCCTAAATCCAACACAAGTTTCATGCGCTTCGACCGGATGAAGTAAATCAGCACTGTACAATTGGGCACACAAAATATGCATTTCCAAACAAAAATCTAAAAAGGTACATCAACCAAAACCCCTCTTTTTTTACAGCACATTACACTGGCAACTTCAGTTTAGATTTTGTTTTAAAATCGCTCTGAAATGTGTTGTCTTTTTCTAATCATAATGGTTCATAGTGCTACTTTGTTCATTACACGATATTTGCGCTTAACAACTGCATAGATATCTATCAAAAAAAGCCAAGATTTTTAAAACTTTTTTTATAAACTGAACTCAATCTACGAAAAAAGAATTTCTCTGCTTAAAACCAATAATTAATCTAAATTAACGACAATATGGTAACGCTAATTACCAACATCAAAACAATCTTCTACTTACTCGTACCTTTGTCTTTTGTTCAAGAAAGTGTAAAACAGGTGAACAGTTTTATAGTGCACTTTTTTGCTCAACCGCCCATAAGTGCACGTATCTTGTCAAAAGAAGCTCCAGCCTTTGAACGAAAAATTTTAACGTAACGTATGTTGTGTCACACTATAAAAAAGAAATTTTTTGAATTTTTGTAGCTATGGGTCTCTCTATCACTCCACTTCTTTGACAGCCCGCCATACTGCAATACACTTGCGAACCAAGTTAACCAAAATATAGGTTGTTAATCTCTAAAAAACTTAATTGTATGGGGCCATTTTGGACCTTTTCATTTAAAAATCCAGAAACTTTTTTATATCGACCGCAAGGAAAAGATATTCAATGATTTCATTGGTCAAATGGTTTTTACGTACTTCTCCGCAAAAAGTTTTTAAATTGCTGTATGAAAGCATTATAAGCTTCCTTTTGAGATCTCACCGAAGAAAATCTCAAAAACAATTTTGTGCTTAAGTTTATTTCTTTTTATCTTATTTCTTAAACTCGTTAAACAAAACTGCTGCTTAATTTGTAAGCTATGACAAAAATCCTACACCAAAATTCTTATGTAAAGTTGTTCTTATAAGCAAGGGAACTTTTAAAAGGGTCTGTGGGGTGGATAGGTGCTGGGTAAACAATTTTGTCGACCTTTTTTCTGGTCGACCCATTTAATTTTCTGGGCTCTCCCAAATCACTATAAAATCACCCCACTTTGACCAAATTTTCTGCGCCGTAGGCCATTTTTCAAAAAAACAGGCGAAAAAAAAGCGTTCTAAGAAAAAAATTTTAGGGTCAGTCAGCCAAAAATGTATATCTCAAAATAGTACAAAAGGAAGACTCTTTGGGTCGGCAGGGGGTCGAATCCCCGAGGAAAAGGCGTCCCCGCTAAATCCACTGGTGATATTACCAGTTTCCAAAATTTGCTTTTAAATTGTCTTTATCGCCTCATCTTCTATTCTGTTATAATGTTGAACAAACCAACTTGAGTTGATGCATTAAATTCGAGTAGTGTGATTGAACGAAAAAACGAAAACAAGTTTTGCTTGAAAAGGTTTCATGACCAAAAAGAGCTGCGAAAGCAACTACTGAAATAGAAACAAAAATTATCAAATAGAGCAGGAGGACTTAGTAGGAGGGAAGTGTGTGAAGTTAGCTGTAGCCAATCTAACGGAAGCTTGACTTCATGGCGAAGTCAAGTTGGGCGATATCAAACTGCATGTTCAAGAGACCATGCAGTTTTGATTTGAATGAACGATTTTTCAGTGTGATTTAAATGAACGATTTTTCAGTAGAAAATTTGTCGGGTCCAACAATCGAATTGTTCGGGAAGGCTAAAATTAGTGCGATTTGCTTTATCGCAATAGTTTCTGAGCGAGATCTAGGTACTGGGTAATAACCAACCGGTCAAGAAACCTAGTCAAGCTGCTTTCTTGCCATTTGGTGGCCGCGATGATCTATTACGTTCCATTGACCGTGTCCGTCGACTTTGTAATCTAAAATCCATTAAAATTTTGAAACCATCATTTTTTTCTTAGTTTTTAAAGATTTTTCACATGGTGCAAACACAAGTCTGTTTTTAATTATCTTCATAGCTCTGAAACGCAATTTTGGAGCTCCGAGCCTCTCTCGTGTTACCATCTAACATTGCATCTCACGTTGACAAAAGCGTAAAGCCAAAAAAAGTCACACCGAATTTGCCCAATTTACAAAAAGAACATTTGAGGTAACGGCATAGGTACTTCGCATAACTTTTATTAAAATGAAATGTGAGCTGCGCAACTTTTTTAAACAAAAAACACGCAATAGATTATGACTTTATAAAAATGCTCTTATAGAATTGTAATTAATATGGAATAAATATGATATAAATTTCTTGTTCTCAAAAATTTCATGATTTTAAATTCATCAGTTTTAAAGACAAAGAAAGCGTACCTTTGCATCTTTTTTGTACAACATTGGTTCATCCAAACATTAATAAAAAACAGAAACTGTTGCAGATAAAAAATGACATCAAAAATAGTGAATTCAAAAGTTTGTTACCATTCGTTCAATCAACTGTTAAACTATGATAAGCCAACTTATATCTAGAACAGACGAGGACAATTTTTTCAAATTCCAAAAACCACTGCAGGGACCGGTTTCAGGAGTTCGATATCTTTCGATCGTGTTCGGTCGAATTAACGGTTTTTTCTCAACCCGGAATCCGTGGTCGAAAACAGCCATTTCGGTTGAACACAAGTTCGAAATTTAGTCAAGATCATAGTCAAAACATGGTCAAAGCTTGTCGGATTCAAGCTTTGGGCTACACATGATCTTAGACAGCTCTCCTAGACGCGAGGTCTTGCCAAAAAACGTAAATAAAAAGAAGAACTTTGGAACAGTGAGCGCAAAAGTTTGTTTTTTGTACGCATGTTTGCACATATCTTCATATCTCTAGAGTTTTTGGCCGCCATGTTTTCTTAAGATACGAAAGACAGATCTTCAGATACAATAAGCACCTTTAGATGCTGTTGTTCTTCTAGTTTATCTTTATCGATGAAGATAACTTAGAATACCATAGCAGTTAGTAAAATTTGAATCAATTTATTTTGAAATTACATACCGAGGCCAACTCTGCATTTTGTGAATTGTAAGCAGATTCAGGTGTTCGATCTCGGGTCGATAAAGGTATTCTAAGTTATCTATATTGATAAAGATAAACTAGAAGAACAACAGCTTCTAAAGCTGCTACTGAGGTAAGGTTTGGTATCTTGAGAAAATATGGTCACCAAAAACCTTAGAGATATGAAGATATGTAAAAACACGCATACGAAAAACAAACTTTTACGCTTACTGTTTAAAAAACTCTGCTCTGACAAATCGAAATGGTGCAATAGATAATACATCTGCAATATATCGAGATATTATAAGTCAAAAACAAACTCCGAGTCAAAGCCGCACTACCCAAACTCCAATGAACACGCCACCCGTATTACACAGCTAGAAGAAAACCTTGGACTTCCTGTCAGAAACTTAAAGAATCTAGGGCAATAAAGGACCTCCTGGCAGGGGCCATCCATGAACCCTGCCAGGAAGTCTAAGAAAACAATCACTGAAAACCAGCCCTGGACACCTGCTATGTACCCTTCCAAGAAATCCAGAAACCAGCAATTATTTACAAAGTTTCTTTAAAAAAAATTTTAGTCGCCGCTAAAGCATTTAAGGCTCACAAAAACAGTTTCGGAAAAATTTTTTCTTTCAAAAATGTAATTTTTTTGGCGTATAACTTCAGTCCAGGCTCAGTTTTTCACTCAGAAGAACCAAAAATCAAAATCATTGACAATTGTTTTGTGTGGAGCCATTATTAGTGTTTTGTCGTTTTAGAATCTTAAGATAAGTCTAAAATTGACAGAAAAGCATCTTAAGATTTTCAATTACCGTTTTTTTAGGTAAAAGCCATCTAGCCACATAGAAAAATTGTTTTTGCTTTCTTTTAGCTTGTTTTGTTTTTGGTCATGTTCGAAAGCTTTTGCAATTTTGAAAATTGAACCATAAAACATGGAAGTCCAAGCCTCGATTCTTAGACTGCTCCAGGAAGTCCAGTGCAATCCCTGCAAATTTGGCTAAAAAAGAACCATTTGACAAAAGTTAACTAAAATTGGGCTGGTATAGAACATCATGGAGGTGCATTTCTCAAAAGAGCTTATTTAACCTTCTTTTATACAAAAAGGTAAAAAAAACATGAATTTGTATCGACCAGTTAACAATGAAAAAGAAGTTCAACACTCAAACTGAATTACAAAAAACTATCAACTACCTCTTCGCTCCAATTTTAAATTGATCATTTGTTGAACTCACCCAGGCTTCATCAACGATGTTTTACTTTTCAAGTTAATCTGTTGGCAGTACATCAACATCAGTAAGACGAATATAATCGAGTACAGAAAATAAGGAAAATGAAAAATTTTTCACAAGCCAATGATTTCATTAGCTTGTGCAAACAGAATAATTAAAAGTGAGATAAGACAAAAAAAAAGCTCCTTAAAATTGAATTGCTTATTAAAAATTTGGGGCCTAGGAAATTAGACGATAAGCAAATTAGACGGATACTACAAAAACGAAATTAGACGGAATTTATTTTTTACAGATCTGGCATTTTGGACAAAAAAGCTATGAAAAGGAAAAGGCCAACAAAATTTTCTCTTAAGAGTCAAGTTTCACAAATACAAAAAGAACATAAAATGTCAATACCTATCAAAACAATTAGTTTAAATGAACATGAAATGTCAAATCTGAATAATACAGGAGAGTTTTGAATTGAATAAATTATGCATGGTTGACTTGTAAAGTTTTTGACCACCGAAATTGAACTGTTTTCTACAAACAATTTGATTTTTCTAACGCAATTTGTGTGCAAATAAAGTTAATTTCTCTCACTTTTGTGTATTTTCTCACAACTGCAGTTTTGCAAAACCGTCTAATTTCCTTTTAAGTACCTCCGTCTAATTTGCTTATCGTCTAATTTCTCAACCCCCTAAAAATTTGTGTATTTGCGCATTGTGTACGAGTATTTTTCCGGAATGTTAAGTCAGGGGATTGTTTTAGATTGCTTGATGAAAAGTAAATAGATCTGAAAAAATCTGTTCGGCGGGTGGTAACTACGTCGACAAAAATAGTCAGATACACAATAGTGCAAAAGTTTGGGAAAATCCTGTAAGCAAAAAGTACAGACCTCGATTGGTGAAGCCTCCCGGTTTGACCTCCATAGACCGAAAATGCGAATCACACAATTTCATACACTTAGTCTATTGGAAAAATGCTAGTCATACAAATTTCATACATTTTTGCAAAATGAGTTTAATCGAATTTCAAAGGTATTTTATAGTTGTTTTGGTATCGAAATTGGTATCTCTTCATAAAAAAAAGGAAAAAAAAATAGCATGAAAAAAAAAATGCTAATCATACAGTTTCCATATATGGAAATTGTATGACAAGCATTTTTTTTTAAAATTTTTTGTGAAAAAAAAGCTTTGAACAATCAATTCAACTGCAGGCAAAACATTTAAGCGTTTTTTGGGCTGCTACAACTGAAAACATTGACTTTTTTTATTGTTGTTTTCGGAAAAAAAACACTAGTCATACAATTTCCATATATGGAAATTGTATGACTAACATTTTTTTGATGGCGACGACAAAAATTTTTCAAAGTATTTTTGAAATTGCCCCCAAAATTTTTTTTGTGTTTTTTTCAATCGCAAACTGATTTTCGTATTCAAACAAACAATTTTTGAAAAAAAATTTTGCATGCAAAATGTTAATTTTTTTGTGTGTATAACGTAGTCCTGGATATACTAATATTGGATTTTTTTCCTTTTCTCTTCATTACTTTTTTTCAAAAACGCTTAAAACTCCTCTTTATTTTGTTTGACATGTTTTTGTATGCCTTGATCAATGTCTGGTAATTTAAAAATTCAAATTTTAGAAATAATCATCTTTGAAAATTATTGCCAAAGTTTAAAAGTTCTTTACTTTCGTTATATTATTGTGTAAGACAGAAGTAACAAATAGCAGGCTGTTTCCAACGCAGTTTTAATGCGAGACGGCCAAACCTTTGGTTACTACGTTTGAGTAATCAAGGTTTATGTAATTTGTGTTCGGTTACGACCACAACCAAAAATTTTTTGAGAAATTAAAATGTAAACAATCAAAATTGTTGGTTTATGGAAAAATGCTAGTCATACAATTTCCATATATGAAAAAATACTAATCATAGAGCTTTCATGCAATTTTCTGTACGTATGGAATTGTATGGAAAGTGTATGACTAGCATTTTTCCATATATGAAAATTGTATGACTAGTATTTTTGGTCATCCCGGGCTCAAGCATGTGGTATAACACAACATTAAGACCGCATCTGAACATAAGTATCTGATACATGAAACAAAAGAAAGTAATAATAAGTTTGTTCCAATATGGGCAATAATCTAACAATATAGCAAAATCATCAATAAAAAGAGCACCAATATGAGCTGCAAGCGCAGAAGGTAATTCAACATCTTGAAGCGCCGTTTAACCGTTTCTATTGAGAATACTATCTTATCTAGATTTGATTTGTCAACCAATCTTAAAAACGATTTTATATAACAAAAAAAGTTCCAGACTCTTATTGTTCACTTCTCCTGCATCTAATTGACGTATGTTTTGAGGGATTTATTCGAAAAAAAAATTTCAGACTTGAAAAAATATATATTTATTTTATTTGCTTTATTTTAATGCCACTGAGGCAGACAAAATAAGTGATTAAAAATATCTGGAAAAAGACACCAAGTTAGTGAAAGAAAACCATTTCGTCGAAAGAAAACCATTTCGTCGATTAACAGCTGAAGATTTTAATCAGTAATTATTTTTTTTACTCATTACAGTTTACCCAACTTAAAACTAAATTCCTTCCCGCCACGCAAAAATAACCAAATGTTGCAACCAAAATATATGAAAAAAATCAACCTTAATGTTTTTTAAACTGCTATGCAGTGATTTGAGTTTTCGAAACATTTTGGGCTTTCTTGCACAGGAACCGCGTTAATTAATGTCTTGAGTCAGAAAAGTCACTTCAGTTCGAATACGCGACCTTTGAACGGCATTGAGAACCAAAACTCAAAATCGTTTGAAAATTCGAGAGACTTTTTGAGGCCTGTCACTTGTTTTTAATCAAAAATTAGACACAAACTATTATAGATTAATGGTATTCATGTATCAAGCAGCTCATCAGGTATTTGAAGTTGGACGGCCATAACTAGCTTTCGTGTTGTGACCAGGTGGTTTTTAAACTTGGAAAGCCATAGCTTTTGTCTTATGGCCACCCGCCAACCGTTGGTGCAACTATGTTCATTTATGTACCAAGTTCGAGCTAACTTGTGGACTTTTGACCAAAATAGAATCTTGCAAAATCATATGACTCCAGTTTGCGTCAGATGTTATCGCTTGCAACAACCATGGTCAAAAAAGAAAGCGAGCGAATAAATATAATGCCACGTAATTTGTTTTTGAAGTAAACAAAAAGCACCAAACTTGAGAGCATAGCTAGCATATGAAGTAGATATATACCAGACTTTTTAAAAAGAAAAACAATATCTCATAACTCGAATATATCATCGTCTCTAAGTCTACTTGCTCAAAGACAGATAGTTAAACTTTGACAATAATTGTTCGAGTTTTTGATTGGCCTGGTTTGTTTTGCTTTGAAAACTGAACAAATTTTTCACATTATTAGTCTTCGATTGAACGTCAGAACACATAAAGTTAAAAACTTCTCTCAGTAAATTGTTCAAAGTGCGTGAAACGTCCTGAAAATGGTGGTCGAGCTAAAACCGACTGCAGTAAAAACCGAAGATGGAAAGCCAAAGAAAGACTTTTCTGACTTCGTGCCAATTTCTGTTCCCACTGCACGGAAAAAGAAGGCGGCGGTTGGATGCTGCACCGTGTTTGCAGCTGTTGCGGTCGTCGCCATTGCACTGATGGTTCTCGGAGTGGCCGGGTACTTCGCGACTGAGGCTCTCATGAAAGGAAGCGGCAAGGAGGCCGAAATTATTTGCAAAAAAGACAACTGCGAGGATGCCTATGAATGGTGAGTAGATCTTTCCATTTAGCCTAACCGCGCACAGAAAAAAAACCTAAAGAAAAATTGCCTAAAAAGTATAGATAGCACCTTAGATGTTAGTCTGAGTTTGTTGTACTTCATGTGTCGATTTTCTCGCTCGACCGAGCAAAATAAGCTCGACCGTGCTTGACTCAATTCAAATAGTTTGCTCGTATTCTCGTTCTAATTTGGGTATGCTTCGGCGATATTCGATGAAGGTTTCGGATATGTGCTCGATTGCCCTCAGTTCCTTAGTGTCTCGAGTGAAGAAGCCGACGCGGCCGAAAGCGAGCGCCTCGACCGGGGTATCTGGGTATCTCGTGACATGTGGGGAAAACGAACTATATTGTGTTCCAAGAAACAAATAAAAGTTACGAGCAGGTTAAAGATAAAATTAACTAGCCCTACAGGAGTTAATTTTAACAAGGTTTTGTGTTATTGTTCACGGTTAGAGCGTTGTTTGTGTTCACGGTTATGTGTATACGGTTATGTGTTCACGGTGTTGTGCATTTGTTGTAGTGGCCACTTGCACGGAGTGCAGCAGTGCCAAGACGAAGATGTGTCTGACAGGGCTGAGAAAGTCTACGAAGACTGGATGGATCTGGTCGAGGGCAGAAATGGTAAGAAATCGTCTTCCTAAGATAAATGAAAGCTCGAATTATGAAATTATGAAAAAAGCAGCAACCATGCTGGCAAAAGTTTTGGTGGTTTATGGCTTCGAGGATCTAAAAGTTATGGTAGCAAATTTTCAAATTTTTGAAAAGATTTCGCCGCTCAATCCGCATTTGCTTGCCGGCTTAATTGGGGAGGGGATTGGTTATCACAGAGGGGGAGAGGGGGGGGTTTAGAAAAAACCATTTTCTCATATGACCATCAAGTGTGACTTTGATTTCCTCTTGTCATCCTCGTCTTCTTTATAGTGCAATTTCGCGAGTACATCAAAAAAGAGGATGGCGTTTACACTCTGGAAGTGGTTCCGCTGTGTGATGCCAAGCCCACCTTCATCCTAGTGGACACCAACGAAGACTACTCCGTAGTCAAGGTCAGCTAACTACTTCACTACACAGTTCAAATTATTTCACGTTGTAGTTCAAATGAGTTCACTTGAGAGTTCAAATGAGTTCACTTGAGAGTTCGGATGAGTTCACGTTGGGAAGCTTGACCCGATAGTGTCTGTTGTTTATTTTTCAGGCGGAGATTAAGGAAGGACAAGGTTACCAGTGCATGTTGTTCGACAATGCTGACTTCGTCCACGAAGTGCAGGAGGAGCTGGAGGAGTTCGAGTACGATGACGACACCGAAGAGTACGAGATCCGAGTGGAGAGAATCACCTCCGCCTTTTTCGACTTCGGATCCCCTGTCACGTCCGAGGAGAGACAACTGCTCAGTTAGTTTTAATAGGGCAACCCAATCTCATAACCTAAAGCTTAACCATAACTAGGGGAAAGCATAACCCTAACCATAAACAGGTAAGCATAACTTGAGCATCCAAGTCTTAATGGAAATTTACATGACGTGAGAAAATGATCAAATTAATATTATTAAGCACTGACTAAAAGTCGTACAAAATATTAATGGAGACTTTTAGGCTCTTTTCCTTCCCCCACCAGCGAATTTCCACTAGTATTTTCTCTGTTCTCATTGTCCGATTGTTACAAACTTTGGCGTGCGGACTAATTCGGTTATGACAAATGTATTTGGTCTTCAAATCTAACCTTGTAAAACCCCTCGTTACGCCAGAAAATTGAAGCTTATGTGACGTGGGGAGAAAAAGGAAAAAAGCCATTTTTTGCCGTGCAGTTCAAAAAAATTATTCATGTGCTTTTTCTATTGGTTTTTAGTCAAAAATGAGAGTTTTTGTATGGTAATCCTTAAAAACGTGATGTGATAATGATTTATGTTTTTATAGCTGAACAAGTGAACGAACTGTGCCCTGACGGTACCATGAGGATGTACCACATGGTCAAATCTGACGATACCTTCCGAGCTCAAGTCGGAGACCTAATGAACCGATGGGGGATCACCGCAGACGACATCTTCGAGTATTTCGCCGACATCTACGAGGCCTTGGTCGAAGAGGACGACCGAGCAGTCCAGGAACTGATGGGCCAGTACCGGGAGATTGTGGGATTCCTGCCGACGGGATCGTACAGTGATGTTTCTCAGAGCGGAGTGGGGTGGTCGTTGAACGTCAATGTGAATACCTGGTACTCGTACTTTTGGGGAGGTACCGTACGAGAGCACAGCGCTGTATTCACTGTGGATGAGGGAAACTTGGATCAAGTCGTAGAAGATGACGCTGCTGTTGAAAATGCCCAACTATAAGGAGGTCTCAACTACAGGAAGGAAGCTCGGACCAAAACTCAGAAGGAAGTGATCCACTTGATAAAACTTATGACGGACTGGAATTAAACTATGTACATAAGAAGTAGATAGATGAACAATGGTATGGGAGATGAATGAATTAATGCAAATTACCTTAAATTTTTTTGCAACACCTATTAATTACATCGCATTGATTCTCGTTGTAAATAGTCTTGCAAAATTCAATATTTTGTTTAGAACATGTAATTGGCTAAAAATTCAGAGGTCAAGCATGGTCGAGTCAGCAGAAAAATGTTACTTAATAAAGACAAGGGCTTTTGTTCGCTTCCCTCGTTTTTTACATACCAGGGTTGAGGTGCTCGATTTATGTTTCGACTTTCTCGACCGGAAATCGGTATGTTTTGACCGCCTCGACCAATTTACGGTATGTTTCTAAATTCTCGACCAAATTTTGATATGTTTTGACTTTCTAGACCAAACTTTGGTATAGTTCGACTTCCTTCAGATATGTTTCGACTTTCTCGACCAAAAATTGGTATGTTTCGACTCTGCTTGACATATGCTTCGACTGCTCGGATTATGTTTCGGCTGTGCCCGGCTTATGTTTTGACTGTGCTCTACCTGTGTTTCAACTTTTTTGACCAACAATAGGTGTGTTTGGACTGTGCTCGACATATGTTTCGACTTTCTCGACTATCAAAAAACCAGAACAAATTGACAAAAAATTATACAGTATGCTTTCAGTCAATTTTTTGAGATCATGCTTGATTTGAAAATAAATTACAATAAACTGTAAAATTCCTCCATCGAAAATTACTTTTCTTTCAAGTAGAATATCCCATTTTTGCTTTTATTTCCTTCACAAATTTGGACTTAAACTGTAGATGTGATGGCTGATTTGCGATAAGCAATTCTCCTCAAACGGTTGTCGCGATAATGCTCCACCGATGTTTCGACATTCTCGACCAAAATCAGGTATGTTTCGACTGTGCTTGACCTATGTTTTAATTTTCTCGACCAAAATTGGGTTTGTTTCGACTCTCTCGACAAAAATCGGGTATGTTTCGATCTTGTGCTCCACTTAAAAATGCTTCTCGAACGCGGAATTTCAGTCGCAAAATTGCACTTGCTCGACTTTCAAAGTCGAAACATAAATTGAGCACCTCGACCATGGTATAAGTTTGCATAACTTAAAAGTTATGTAAAATGATGTATTAAAAACAATAATTAGATGTTGGTAAGTATAATGAAAATAGATATACTGAACACCTGCATCCAAGTTTAGGCGTAAGCAATCGACTATAACGGATTATTATGAAGATTTTTTGACAATTATAATTGATTATAATTACCAAAATTAGGTGTTTAAAGGATTTATAATTGATTATAATCGTGATGTTTTCCAAGAGATTATAATCTCTTATAATCGATTATAATTGATTATAGTTCTTACAAAAACCCTTAAAATCAACTATAATCGATTTTAATCGATTATAATATCTTATTTTGCCGAAATTTTGTCAATTCAAAACTATATATGAATTATATCGCACGGGTTATTATTTTTGTGTCAATAAGAAAATCTCTAAAAGAGAGATCTCTTGAAAACTTTGGCTCATCTGAAAACAAAGTTTTACCACGAAACAAAAGTTTCATAGAGGTCCTTTCATATGAGTGGAAAGGTTACCGCGGTAAAGGAAAAATAAATCTTCCGAATCAATCATGAAACTAAATCAGTTTAAAAAGCTTAAAATATGCATCACAAAAAAACTCTAATGGGGGAGGAAATGAAAAAAACTTATAAATTTGAATTAATTGGAAAAATTTAAAAACATTTTTCTCAATTTTCATAGGAACCAACGTCTACAAAAAGCATAAAATATAAGCAATTTAGTGCAACTTCGAAGACAAAATGGACAAACAAACGAGATTATAATCAGTTATAATCGATTATAATGGATTTTTGTGCGAAACTAAAGAACTAGAAAATTGAATAAAAATAATGGATTATAATCAATTATAATCGATTATAATTGTATCAAAAAATAGACGAATAAATAATTGATTATAATTGATTATAATGGATCATAATTATTTATAATTTGATTTTAAAAAGAGAGATTATAATCGAGTATTAATTGATTAAAATCGATTGTTTCTCAATTTTAGTAAGAATGGTACTAAAATCGTAATATAATCAATTATTAACGCTTGCAACTGGATGCGGGCAGCTTGGTTATTCCAATCTTATTAAGTACTAACAGTAGGTTTTACTTTCCAAAATACACCGGGTTTCTCAAAGTTTTCCGGCTGTAGTTTGCCGAGCAGGCGGCGATTCTCTTGCAATCTGGCCAGGGCCGTCCGTTTCATTGTTTCAGATTGCCGTTTGTTGGTTGCAGAATCAGTCTCTTAGCTTACACTTTCACAAAACTTGTGAATGTTTTTCTTGTAATGTTTTTTTTTAGTATTCGTTTTAAAATAGAATTTTAGCGAACAATAAGGAAAATTTTGATGTGGTTGATGGTTCTCAATTATTCAATTATATATCAGGACAACAAAACGAGACACTGAACAGGTTGCAAAAATTTGCATTCGCATAACAGCGTCAGAAAATCTGCATGTGTGTACATTTTATTTGTGCTTTTCGCAAAGTCACTCTTTCTGCTTCAAGAAAATTTTTTATTTTGTTTAAAATAAAAAATATCAAACAATTAATTCATCTTGCTTAACACCTGAAGACTAATATTATTTGCACCCGCATCAGCTACTTTGAAAATCGGAGTCCTTTGTTATGATCTGTGAAAAGGCCGGCGCAGTTTGCATAATTTCCTTCTTTCAACGTCTTATAGAGAACATCATCCGGGAAGCAGGCGACTGTATTTGGTAGCTCAGCCAGGATAACAGGATAATAAATAAAAACAAGACTGCTCGTATCAGGCCGAAGCCCTGAATATTCCGACTGCCTATTAAGGTCAATGAAACAAAAATTAACATGAAAAAAATAAATGTAATAAAAAAAAATTAAGAAAAAAATAAAATTTGAGATTTTTTTGAAAATCATCACACCACACGACATATAAAGTACAAAGTGATAGCTTTAGCTCCTAGTAACATATCAATTATTGCAAATAAGCTTCCTTTAACCCATTTGGAACGATTTCTAAGACGGATTAAATCTCCGCTTACGCGTTAATAGCGCGAAATATATCGCGCGTTAATTGTCCCAAATTGTCCAAAATGGCAATCGTTAAACCCCCATAACTTTACCAAAAATAATCACGGGTGAAATATTTTTTCAAGTTTAAGCTCAGGACAACAATACTTTTTGAATGATATTTTAAAAAATTGGTCAAAAATGGCTAGGTAAAAAGTTGAAATTTGTCTGAAGAAAATTAAAACACACCCCGAGCACAAATATTCCGTTACTTTCGTATCGAAAGTCGGAAAAACATTGAAAAAGATTTATCATTCTCCAATATTTAAAGCACAAAAAGAATTTTTGTTGCTGGTTAAGTTTTTGAAAAGTTATGCTTGTACTTATCTAAACTTGTTATATTGTAATGATTTCTAGTTTAGAACGCATGCTTCTTAGAACTGAAAGGCTCGCTGGTAAAAAGCAGCTGGTAATATGTAATAAGTCACATCCACACTGTAGAGAAATTACTTGACAAAAGACCAAATCAAGATTTTAAGAAACCCAATTTTTTTGTATCCAGCTTGGGAAAAATCATCTAATCGAGGACAAAATCAATATCCACGGCCGAGAAAAACGACTTGGTTTTATTTCTTAAATAAACTTATGTAAAGAGTAAGATTGGAATTACAAAGGATGAGTTTAATTCATTTTTTTGGTAAAAACGACTAGTTGTTAACAAATTGGGCACATATTTTTGCTGAAAGAATTAGCTGGATACAAGTGTTACACACGCCAAACTCTGTTAGAATTTTTATTTGAAGAGAACAAACACGAGCTTACGCTGGTTACTTTTTTATAGTAATAAAACGAATAAGAAAAACCGGCGGAGGAGTAAGTTTTACCCATGCAGATACAAGCATAATTATAGTGACAAAAAAAATTAAGGTATCTCAAAATCTTTCCTCTTTTTTTTAACTTATAAAAGTGTTTTATAAAGTATTTTATGTGTCCAACTGAGAAAATACACAAGCTTACATGGTTTATTTTTTTAAGGTAAAACGAATTAGAAAAACCGGTGGAGGGGTAAGTTTTACCCATGCAGATACAAACATAATTATAGTGAAAACAAAAAAATTGAGGTATCTCGAAAACTTTCTGCCTGTTGTTAACTTATAAAAGTGTTTTAAAAGAGTTAACAAAAAACTAAAACTAATAAACAATCGTGGGATTGCAAAATTTAGTGATATCACCATCTTTAGTTATTGGAGGGAAACTATAAAAACAATTTATGATTTAAAGGGAAGGGGAGAATGGGCGAATCAATTGATAGGGTTCAAAAAATTAACTCCAAAGATCAGAAAAATTGTGAAGGGATGTTACAAAAAAGGCTTTTTTGTGGTAGAAGCAAGGCATTGCGTATACAGTGTGATAGCTGGTTCACAATCTGTCAGGTGGCGTTAACTTTGGCATGCCGCGATTTTGAATGATAGTGCGTACATATGAAGGTAACGTTTGCCAGGTCATGTCATGGTTTTTTCGGATTAAATTCAGCTGGTAACGGGATTTGAAGAAGAAAAAAATAAGGTTTATAACGACTTCGTTTTAAGCTAATGCGTTAAAACTTTGAGCAAAAAATGAATTGCTGCTCTTGACAGTAAGTTTTTGTTCATCATGAAGGCCTGGAGCGTATCGGGTGCACAAAATATCCATTTTTTTCTGACCTGGGTGAAAACAGATACGATTTTTGTAGGCTTGTTAACCATCCCAATTGGTGAATTCATATAATCAAGGACAAAATCATTATCCATGGCAAATCAAAACATTTTTTTATTTCCTAAGCAAACATAAACAATTAGTAAGTTTGAGCATACATAGGATGAATTTAAATCCATTTTCCAGTGAAACCGATTGATTGATAACAAATTGGGCACAAATTTTTGCTATTTTACAAGCAGTTGTGGCAAAATATTTAAACATCAAATGTTCACCCTTATGTTTGCCGCTTGAAAGATATAGCTGGATGTAAATGTTGCAGACGTCGTGCACTGTTTGAATCATTTGTCTACATATAGGGCAAGAGATCTTCGCAAGTGACGTTTGTGT